CTGACCCTCCTGGAACAGGGACCTCTGGCTGACTAGATTTACCAGAAGGGCAGACAGGGGGAATGGATGAGGGTGCTGACAACACAGTGGACAGTGACAGGGATGGCAGAGTATGGAGCCTCTAGTGGGAGAGGAAGGCTGTCTATCTGACGAGTTTGTATTCATGCTCAGGTGCCGAGGAGCTCAGAAGGTGGGCGACTGTGACCAGTGATAGTCATGTATATAGAGATTAGAAATGCATGGGAAAACGTCTCAATGTCAGTTGCTTTGGAATGAATTCTTCTGTATGAAAAAAAAAATTAAAAAAATAATGATTAAAAAACAAACAAACAAAAAAAGTTACTGCTTGGATGGGGGCTCTGAAGGGGAAGGGGGCTTTTCTCTGTCTTGGAGTTGGGATGGAAAGGGTAGGAGGACCTTCCAAGAGGGAGACTATGACTAAGATCAGGGAGCAGAACTCAGCTGTGGCAGGCCTGGGGAGGGACCTGGAACCTGCATGTTTAGCAAGTACCCTTGCCCTGCAACACTGAGCTAACTAGATGGAAGATGGTACACTGGAGGGAAAAAAATGAGATAAGAGCTGAAGAATAGTTATGCTTGTGTTAGGCATTTCATTGTACTTATCTGCCAACTAAACGTCTAACAAGGCCTCTTGTGCCTCAATCTTGGACTTGAGGATGGAGCAGGAAGAGAACAAAGACAAGACATAGTTGCTAGCCTGATGCAACTCACACAAGACCATTAAACACTGCCACCCAAGCAGGCAGATGCAGGGATAGGAATGTGAATCAAGGGCTGGGAGCACAGAGACCATAGTGACTGCTCCATCTGGGAGAGCTGGGGCAGTGTCAGGGAGCAGTCTCAGCATTCAGCTTGGGACGTCAAGGACTACTGGGGGGTTCTCAGATGGAAAACTAGAGGAATGACACTTTATTTTTTTATGTGTATGAGTATATTGCCTGCATGTATGTAAGTGCATCCATGTTTTACAATGCCCTCAGAGGGCAGAAGAGGGCATCGGATCCTCTAGAACTGGAGTTACGGACAGTTGTTAGCCACCATGTGGATGCTGGGAACTGAACCCTGGTCCTCTGCAAGAGCAGCCAGTGCTCTTAACTGCCGAGCCATCTCTCCATCCCCCAGGAATGTCATTTTAAATCAAGGGAACAGCATTCAAAAAGGCATGCTGAATGAAACACAGGGTACCTAGAGGCTGTCTGACCCATAGGCATGTGTCAGGGAGAGAGCAGGGCTAGCACCAAGAAGGGAGACAGAGATCAGTTGATGGGAGCTTTGTGTTCTATGCCAGGGACCTGGATCCTTGTCCTGTGGCTCCAAGGTACTGAGCTAGAAAGATAGGGTAAGATCTGCTTGATGTAGGAACAGTCTGGTGGCAATGTTGGGACAGGGGAGGGTGGCAGGCAGAGATGGAAATGACAGGCACAGTGGAGGAGGGAAGTGGAGAGGAAGGCCCAGGCTCAGGAGGTGTTCTTGGAGGAAGTGATGGGATGGGGAAGGGGGAGGGATGGAGGAAGCAGTGGGAAATGTTTCTGATCGTGTGATGTCCTATTGAATGGGCCATTTCTCAGAGGTGGGAAAATTTCCTGAAGCGTATGGCTTTTACCTTGATCAAGTTATTGCAGTCCACTGTGTAATGGAGGCATGTTCTCTGGAGTACAGAATCTCACCTGGTTCATCTTGTCCTGTCTTCCCATCCCGCAGTGCCAGTGTGAGGCTTCCGGCTAGCACAGTCAAGCTAGGAGAGAAGCTGGAGAGATACCACACAGCCATACAGGTAGGGGCGAAGGGCTCCTCCAGAGGGGTGGAAGCCCCTGCCACGGTGGCAGGCATCACTGAGGAACCTCACAGACACAGCTCAGCAGCCATATCTCTTATTTGCAGAGATCAGAATCTGTCAGGTCTCCAGGCTCCTCCCGCACTGAATTCATGGTGGCTCCTGCCGGTGTGGCCAGCAAGCGCCACCTCTTTGAGAAGGAACTGGCAAACCAGAGTCGTGCAGAACCAACCTCCAGCCGCAAGGTGAGGGCCAGAGCCCAGATGCCGGGCTGTGGGCTGATGAGCTCTGATGTCCCCAAAGATGGGACCTAGGCCTTGGCAGTGCTGCAAACTCTATATTGTCAATGGTAGCAGAACTTTGACTTATCATTTATGTTCCTGAGTGGCTTGAGTCTCCTTAACTGGATACAGATCTCCCTGGGGTGGAGACTACCCCAGTACATACAGCCTGTGCTGAGTGCACAAATTTCATGGCTACCGGAAGAACCTCACTATTGCCAGGGTCCTAAACCCTCAAATGTGAACCTTTCTTTTTAGGAGAACCTGCGGCTGTCAGGGGTTGTGACGTCAAGGCTGAACCTGTGGATCAGCAGGTCCCAAGAGTCTGGAGACCAGGTCCCCCAGGTACTCTTAACCCCTGTGTCTTTTATAGGGTACAAGAATCTGGTCAGAGGAGGGATAGCCCCACTAGCAATGGGTTATTTCAGAAGAGATGGTGGCAGGAGGGTGAACTATGGGCAAAAACAGCAGTCCTTTAGCCTTCAGGAAGAGTGAGGACATCCTGAACAGGGGACAGGTTGTGGTCTCAAGTCCCTCTTTAGTCCTTCCTGAGTCCCTGGCCTCCACTCTGATGTTCCCAACCAGGAGATGCGGAGAGAAGCAGCAGTCACCAAGAGGGCTCAATGGGGAAACAAGTCAGCCACCTCTCTGGATGCAGAGGTGAGTGGGGCAGCCTTGAGAAACAGTGGAAGACCCCAAAATCCATCCATGCATATGCTGATTTGGCCTGCCAGTGTGTGGTCCCATAATTTCCTCTTTGTGTGCTCAGATGACCTACCCAATGGGAGCCCTGTGCTGGCTTGGCTGACCTTAGCTCTGCAAAGCCCTACCCCATCTGACCAGCAGGTTTTGGGTCTCTGGCCCAGTAGGGGTGTAGATTTGGGCAAAGGGGTGCCTTTTTGTCCACAGGTGCCCTCTCCCACAGCCTCAAGGACCCCTTTCCATGTTCTAATTGACCTTTGTCCCACAGGTGTGACAAGCCCTGCCAGAACAGACCTGCAAGCCGGCATCCCAAGGGCACTTTCTCATGGCCCCGCAGCAGTATCCCTGACTCTCACTGCCTCCCAGTATCCCTGACTCTCACTCCCTTTCTGGCTCTGGGCCATTCTGACCAGGGCCTTTGGGAGTCAGGAACATGAGTGACACTCCCCCAGTTCTTTCCCAGTCCAGGCTGGGGCGGGTGTTTCTTGGCACTTTCTCGCCCTGCTACAGGCATAGCACATCCTGGACGCAGGAAAGCCCAGGACACAATTTGGGCACATGCCAGCCATGGAGTCTCCATGTCCTACCTAGAGACTTCCCTTCCTTCTCACTTCCAGGGTCAGACTGGGTTCTTTCTGCCAACTCCAGAGTTACCTGTCTTTTCTGCTCCCAGCAAGTACTCCATGTGTCCGTGACATCCCCACACTGAGGCCTGGACCTACTCAATATGGTCCCTGAGGCTTACTCAAGCCAGACTGGGAAGGAGTCACCAGGTGCATCCCATGTGCCCCATCTCCCTGCTTTGTGTCCCCTCCCCACCACTCTGCTGCCCTAGCCAGGAGCCCAGTGCCTTTGTATGTTACCACTTGTCTTATCCTCACTTGGAAAAATCTGTTCTCAGGAAGTATCTGATAAACTCATTCACTCTCAGGTGTGACTGATACTGTAAGGATGGATTCATCACTAGAGCCTTTGGTTTCCTAAGAAATGAGCTACAGGGAGTGAAGAAACTGTAGCTGGGGTGGAGGGAGGCTCACCTTCCTAGCTCCTCTCTCACATTAAGATGGTAGGCTTGCCACCAGTGGCCCTAGCTTGGTGACTTAGAGTGCAAAACTGCCACGTATGGTATGAAGCGTCCCTCCATCCCAGCTTTCATCCCAGAGCTTTCTCCTCCACACCCTCAACCCTCAGTACCTTGGCCCCTGTGGGCTTGCAGAATGCTGAGCCATTAGAGAGCTCAGGAGAAGCCAAACTGAGACAGGCAGTTGGTGCCCTGCAAACCCTTTAAGGCTAGAGTCCAAAGGAGTTTTTTTTTTTTTTTTTTTTTTTTTTTTTTTTTTTTTTTTTTTTTTTCTTTAGTTGTCACAGCTCTTACTCCCAATTGACTGCTCTAGTTTCATCTGGAACCAGCTCCAGGGAGCCTGGGTGCAGACCCTGCCCACATCCTCTTTGTAGCCTAGGGCAACCTCACAGCTTCTCAGAACATGGCTTAAAAGGGCAGCAACTAGGCCTCTGCTTCTGTGGCTTATGGGGCAGAAGCAGCCAGTCCTGCCTGTCTTTGTCATCCTCGGTGAGGGCCCCTGTCTTGGGTCCTATGGTTCAGGGGACAGAAGCCCTCTGGCTCCACGTGTGCTGTCTTCCCAGTTCCCCAGGGTTGGCTTCTCTCTGTGGGTGAGTCTCCTGCAACTGATCCCACTCCTGTGCTGAACTGGGGGAGCGGGCCTTGGAGGCCTGCCTGGAGCATCCTGCCAAGGGCACGATCTGTAGTTTTGTGTTGATGGAAAGATAGGCAGGGCAGAGGGAAGGGACTCATCTGGAGACTAAGGAGGTCTTAACTGCTCTGGCCCTGCTGGGAAGCCTGAGTATGATCCCAGACCTTTCCCTTCTCTGAATCTCAGAGTTCATGCAGGAGTCCTCAAAGGGCTTTGGGATGCTCATGAGGTTTTGGGAGGTTCCCTGGCAGGTGAACTTTTCCAGCCAACAGCTGTCCTCTCACAGACTCTTATTAGGAGAGGCTCATGGGCGTCTCCTTAGGTGATGGAGGGGCTGTTCAGCAGCTGCAGGCTCAGGATGGTGTGGACTCTGTGCCTACTGCTGGGGAGGGTGTTGGGGCAACTCCACTCCACAACTCCACCTGGGCCCTTCTTTGCTCTGGAGGTAACTGATGAACAGGAGACACGCTGCTGGTGATAAGGGGCAGGTGGTGACTGGAGACAGATTGAGGGTGGGGGTGCTCTTGAGGGAGGTGATGCTTAAACACCCCCTGGAGGCAAGTCTACCACTTACCTTGACCTGGCTCCTTGCTCCCCTGCCTCAGTGGCCCTGTGACCTTACAAATGTTCCTCATCTTGTGAGTATCCCAGTCTGTACACACCAGCCCTTGCACTTCTCAGACCATTCTGTTTATGATTTTCTGCCTGTTTGCTATGAGTGTTGGAACATGACTATTTGTAAGAACCTAGGCCTCCGAGTTGCTGCAGGAGCCACCCTGCTGTGCCCTGGTGTGGCTGTTGGGTGGTGACTAGCCTTTCTCCTTAGCTAAGTGGCTGCCTCAGCTGTCTGGATGAATCCTCACACCTAGGGTCCACAGATACTAAGAACCTACTGGGGTTTCCTAGGAAGGGAGTGCTCTGTGTGGATAGATACCCAAATTGATCCCTCTTTCAGGTGTTCATGTAGACCAGCCAGGGCCTGTGTGAAGGGTTGTTGAGCTCTTTTGAAATGGTGACATAGTAAAAGTAGTTCAAATACAGAGAAGGTTTAGGAAAAGCAATTCCTAAGATCTGGGAGATTCTTGGTGCGTTAGAAGGAGACATGAGGAGGAGGCTGTCCTGCCCTTTCTGGGGTCATCTTGCTGCTTCCAACCATCCCTCTAAGTCTGCTCCCTCCATCTACCTCTTCCTCTGCTTCTGTAAGGCCCTGCCCATTCCCAGGACACTGCCCCCGGGCCTGTGGCTTCAGTTTGCCCTGCTGCTGACCTGCTGGCAGCATAGAGACCCACATGGGCTGGGATAAGCCTGGAACTGGGGGATCAAAGCCACTGGGCTTGAAGGCTGCTAGGGACCATGGAAAGGGGATGGTATCAGCTGAGAAACATGCAAATCCGCCAGCAGTGTGGAGGCCCTGCATGCAGAGGATCCTTAATAGGACTCTTAAGTGGCAGTACTAAAGGAGAACCTGAACATACGGTCACACAATTGAAGGGCAAAGACTGGGTGAGGCTGACTTACTCTGTGTGGAAAGGAGAAGAGTGGATCACTGACAAGATCTGGAAGGGTGAGGGGATTCAGTGTTTAGGACACCTGAGGAGGTGAACCTGGTTCAGGGCAGGACCCTCAGAGTAAGGAGGATCTGCTTTGAAGTAACAGAGTAACAAAGGAGGGGAGAGTGCAGAGGGTTGACTCTGCGCCATTCCCCCAACACACTTGTTTTCCTCTCCCTTTCATTTTCATCACACATTGAGCCCCACCCCATGCCAACCACTCTGAATGGGCACGTGGACATGCACATACAGGCCAACAGCAAAAGCCCTGGCCTTATGGATCTTGTGATCTAGTGGGCAAGTGGAGTAAAGTCACTCACCATGGCTAGCCAAAGTCACTAACCTTGAAAAAATTCCAGCAATCCTCATCTTCCTCACATATCCCAGATGCCTGTCCAAGGAGAATGGCCACCTAACTTGTGTCTAACAGTTGGAGTCCACTCCCAAATGAGGAAGACATGACACATGGTCTTGGGGGTCATGGAGAACAACCACTAAGCTGCCTTCACCAAGGCCTGCAGAGTCTGCAATCTACCTCGGCCACTTGGCCCATTAGAAGCAGCCAGCAGCCCAGAAGATATCTTTACCCCCAGTCTCGTTTCCAATGGAGCGCTTTGCCTTCTGCTTCCCAGGACCTGCACAGAGGCTCCTGCAGTGTCTCAAAGGTTGACTTCTGCCCCCGACTCTGCTCCCAGCTTGTCCTTGGAGGCCTAGGCTGCTGGCATCTGTTTTATCAGGATTCTCAAGAGGGACAGCTGGTTTATGTTACAAGTCTGTTCCCTGCATATCTGTTCTGGTTTTAAATAGCTTATCTGAGCAGCTGGAGGACCACATGAGCTTATATGGCGTGGGGTACTTGTTCCTTTAGCCCTGTGCCTGGCACCTGCCAAAATAGCAGCCAAAACCCCCCATTGTGCCCCTCCCCCCATGTCCTGCTGCACATTCCTCCCACCGCAGGGCTTGGCTTGCAAGGCCCCAGCCCACATGCCTGCTTAAAGCCTCTCCATGTCCTGCCCTCGGCCAGTCCCTGCCGAGGCTCAGTAGATACCTCAGGACCTGTGTGCAGCCCCTGTTCAGAGGTAGGACTGGGGAGAGGCTCAAGGGAAGAACACAGTGGGGTGGGGGGATGTGAGGGTCTTGATCCTGTCATGTTTCCCTGGCTTCTGCCAGTGTCTACTCTCAGTGGTTTCCAGGTTGGGGGGAACCCATGGTCCTTCCTAGAGGGGACCACATTCAGAGAAGATGTTTCTAGAATAGACTCCAAGAGTAGTGCAGGAGGGTGGAGAGGGCCTGCATTCTTGATCTGCCACTAAAGATGTGTGGTTGTGAAGGTTTGGGTAGGTCACTTTCCCTCCCTGGGCCTTTTCTTGTAAGGAGAGTGGCCTAGGTCATTGCTGGGCCTCTGCCCATCCCAAATACAATGGAATCCTAGCTAATAGGGATCCCCCTAGACTGCTCAGTCCATCTCCCCGGCTCCAGGCTAAGCACCCCCAGAACCTTCCCAGGCAGGTTCTTCTAGAAGCCCTGAGAGCAAGGTGAGACCATGGCCATATCAGCTGATAGGGCCCAGCTCTCAAGTGCAGGAACTCAGATGCTGTCCCAAGGCAGGTGGGCCTGCTGGGGCTTCTCCAAGCAGACATGTCAATGATTTCTGTGGCCAGGCGTGATTCCTATCTTGGCTAGGCAGCACTGGGGGAACTGATGGAGCAGGAGGCACCCCTAAGCTTGCCAGTATTGAAAGGTTATCCCTGGGACTTACTATGTCCCTTCCTGTATGACCCTTACCAACATGCCTTTAGTGATAGACCTTTTTCTGTGCCTTGGAATGTAGACAGAGATTTTCTGACTTCTGGGCACACTGACGGTCTATTTGAGAGGTGATTACTTGGAGTATAAGGAATTTCCAGCACATTCCACAGAGAATTCAGCTAGAAAGCCTCCTAACCTCCAAGATTCCTCCTCTGACCCTTTTGCAGGCCAAAAGAAGAGTCTGAGGGGATCAAGTTGTCTGCACCCCTCCCTTCTACCCTCTCCCTGCTGTTTCTGAGCTCCCCTGGTGGGCTAACAGCTGTAGTTTTAGGAAGATTCCAGTTCAATATTGGAAGCAAGGACTGAAGGACAGAGCCCATGTGCCTCAGAAACTCATCAAGGCTAGAACTTGAAACACACCTATTTTGTAGATAGACCAGCTCGGAGAGCTTAAGTGACTTGCCTTAAGCCACACAGCAAAACCTGTGTTAAAAACTCAGATCTTTTGACTCCTAAGGGCAGTCTTCTTTCTGTCTTCTGATTTGCTTAATTTCTTATGAAAGGTGACCCTAATCACTTGCTGTGAGGGGAGTAAGTAGCTGGTGGAAGTGCAGCTGCCGCCCCCCCACCCAATGCTAATATCCACCCCACTAGGTTCCCTACTTCTTCCTGTTCAGGAGCTCCTAGGCTCAGACCCTGCCCTCATCAGATCCACCTGGCTTTGGTGTGCCCCCTTGGCTAAAAGCACTCCTCCAGCCTCTGTAGCCTGTGGTCTGTGTGCTATTTTGAGAGCTGGATGGTGCTCCTGGGAGCAGGGAAGGGAGTCCAAGTTGCTTCATCTTCTTCTGAGCCCAGTGTGATTGATACTCAGTGGCTCTAAGCTGGTGGTAGAGCATGGCAGGAGAGAAGCTGGCCATGATGAGGTGTGTAGCAACACACCTTTCTCCCAAGAGCTCTCCCTTCTTCCTAAGGCCATGAACTCTTCCCCACAGGCTCTGGCCACTCCCCTGGGATTTGGGCATGGCTTGGCTACCACAAAACTCCTACCCATCCAAGGCTCAGGGAGTCCCTTTCTGGCTCACATTCATCCTGACATCCAGGTGGAAACCATCTTGTGTTTGAGTCTTAGCAGAATACAACTCCGTCTCCTGTTAAGACATCTTACACATTTGACATCTTTTTCTCTCTTACCCTAATATAGGGGATGGTGGTGGCAAGTAGCTCAGGGCTGCTGTCCAGAGATTCATGTGAGCAGGCCTCCTCCACATTGTACCTGTCCTACTTCAGCAGAAGGAACAGAGACTTGCCATGCTTGTCCCTAACCAAGGGACAATTGCTATGGCTTGAGTACCTACTCTGGGCCAGGCACTTTACACTGGCTTTAATCTTTACATCCTATTGCATTCACCCAAGCCACAGTGGTGCTGAGTCTGAGGCAGTCTCTACCCAGAATGACAGCTAGGGAGTGGCAGATTCCTGAGAATCTCTAGGTCTCAACAGGGCTGCCTGTGGTAGTCACCAGGGCATTGACTTTCATGGCTGTCCATAGATGGGTTGGGTCTCAGACACTGCATTGGGATATACGGGGAAGAATGAAGAAGGCAGGAACAAGACCATCCATGTCCCACCATCCTCACATTAACAGTGTGGGTCAGGCTGCAGAGGGTGACTGCAGTGGGGGCCAGGAAGCAGGGCACAGGAGAAAGATGTGACAGTGGACCTGTCCATCAGTCTGCTTGTACTCCATTTGAGCCTCACCCTCACATCTCCCTTGCAACCCCATTATCAGGAAGGTCATATTGCAAACAATAGGGGTTGCTGTTCACATTTCAGTCCATGTGATAATGTTCCTGGGTTAGGCACTGATATGGCTGGGGGAATTGGGTTATAATTGCTATGGCTTGAGTACCTACTCTGGGCCAGGCACTTTACACTGGCTTTAATCTTTACATCCTATTTCATTCACCCAAGAGAGGAGTAATTTCATCCCAAAGGGAACCAAGGTATAGGGAAGTGAAATGAGCTGTCCAAGGTCACATTCAAAGGTACCAGGGAGCCAGTATTCAAAACCAGATTAATCTCACACTGAGGCCTGGCTCTTTTCACTTCTCCTTGTGGCGTCTCCCTGTCAGTACACCTGCATATAATTACACGTGGCCAGGCTTCCACTTCCATTAATATCTATAGGATCTTCATAAGGCCCTCTCAACAGAGATGTCTGTACTCCCTCTATCATGCAGAGTGAGAACTTAGGTTCAAAGATGCTGTAAAGACTTGCCCCAGCACCATAGCAAGCTAACAGAATCTCCTGAATCCAAATTTGTTCCTGTCTCAGTGACAGGAATATCTCAAAATGAGTTCTCCAAGGAAACTATTTTTTTTAAATATTATTTTTATTTTATGTGTATAAGTGCATCCATGTCATTCAGTGTCCTCGGAGGTCAGATGAGAGTTTTGGATTCCCCTGGAACTGGAGTTACTGACAGTAGTTAGCTGCCACGTGGGTGCTGGGAATTGAATCCAGGTCCTCTGCAAGAGCAGCCAGTGCTCTTAATTGGTGAGCCATTCTCTAGTCCTGGAAACTATTTTTAGTTGGAATCTTTATTGAGACACTGTGGATTAATATACAGTCCTAAGAAACAACACAGAGGAGCTGGAGAGATGGCTCAGCAGTTAAGGCAGCATACTGCTCTGGACACAAGTTGAGTTGCTAGTACCCATATCAGGTGGTTTACAACTGCCTGTAACTCTGGTTCCAAGGGGTCTGATGCCTTCTTCTCTCTATAGTCACTTGTATTCACAGGTGCATATACTCATACACAGATACACACATATACAGATAATTGAAAAGAAAATAAATAAAAAATAGAAAAAAGAATACAGCAAAGTGAGATTTCATGTACTCTCTTCCCAAGTTCCCCAGATGAAAATATTTACAAAATTATATAGTATATAAAAAACTATATAACTATATAACCCAGATGTAGACACTGGTGCAGCCAATCCAGTACTTAGACTTCCCAGCTTAACTTGTACTGTCTTTGTTCTAAATTCTATGTAGTTGTAACCTGGGTAGGTTCATGTGTTCATCCCACAGTCAAGACGGGGTCAGTGAGATGGCTCAGTGGGTAAAGCAATTGCTTCCAAGCTTGATGTCCTGAGTTTGATGTCTGGGAGAGAACTAGTTGTCCTCTGACCTCTACATATGTGCTGTGACATGTATGCTCATGCATACAGATGTCCACACATACACATAAATAAATAAATAAATATAATGAAAAGATCCATAAAGATCCCTCGTGCATACTTTTAGTACCATCTCACTTCCCTCCCACCCTCCTCATGAGCCCTGACCCCGTTCTTCACATCAAGAATGTCATATATATGGACTCCTTCAGCATATGACCTTTGCACTTGGCTTTCCTCAAGCAACGGCACATCTCTTTTCACTGTTCAGTAGCATTCCATGCTGTGCAGGTGTCACCAGTTTCCCAGGGGGGGCTCTGTGCCAGGATGAACACATGATAAGAACAGAGATGGGGCTCATCCATACTCTGCTCACCTGAATGCTTCAGTGGGCTATAAAGTGGAGAAACTTGGTGAAAAATTGCTTTGAGGCCATAAGAAATCCCTGGTGCATGCCTGCTCAGGAGCAGGACATGAATGAACACCAGCTGACTGCCTTCCTATGATGAATGCATCATGGCCCTCCTTACAGAGGAGGAAACTGGCTTTTAATTGTGGGTCACACTGTGAATTCACCCTATGCCCTCTACAGCTTGGGTGAAGAAGACTGCTAAGGAAATCAGCCTTCTCTTTCAATCTGCACTGACATTTTTCTCTTTTTGGAGGGAGATCCGAGACCATGTCTGATACAGAGGAGGTGGTGGAGGAGTACGAGGAGTAAGTATCTGTGAACACCCTGTCCATCATATCTGACCAAAGAGTCAGCCAGTTGCCCTCGGATCCTGGTGGGATTGACTGGGCCTGTTTCTAGGACTTGGAGTTGGGATTTCTCCCTTTACTTCTCACTCTTGTACCTAGGCAGCAGATCTCAGTCAGACCTCAAGCTGTGGGCTTCTGGAATGCAGGGTCTCAGTTCCAGGGTCAACAGGATCCTACCTGGCTAGTGGACTGGCCACTATCAGGGGAGCTGGGGCTCCTGAAACCGATAACAGTTCTATGGCTCCCTTGAGGCCACAGAACTGATGATGTTACCCAACCTGCCCCTGTGCCCAGGGTTATCATTCCTCCTTGGATCCCTAGTTACCCCATAGTGCCTGTCCACAGGCCTGTCCTGAAGAGACCAGAGGGGAGGCAGAGTTAGGCAAACTAAGAAGTACCCCAGGTGAGGTGTCATCAGGGAGGACACGTAGGCCCTCAAGGAACTTCCTTTCCCCTTGGGCTGCTAGATTGAACCATGGAGGGAAGTAGTAAAGGGGCATGAAGGCAGAGGTGGCTGAGGTAGTATAGGAGCTCAGGGGAGAGGGGAAGTGGGAGCTGGGATGGTTAAGGGCAGCTCTATGGAGAAGGCAGGCCTCACCTGGTGACATTTGGAGACAGACTTGGAAGAAAAGAGAGAAGGGCTTTCTAAAAAGGGATGCTGCCTGGGAGAAGCTCAGAGGTGAAGTGGGCAGACTGCTGAAGATGCCCAAACTGTTGATACAGAGGTTTGTGGGGAACAGTGGCAAGTAGTGCTGGCTGAGAAGCCAGCTATTAGGGGCCTTCACAGGGCAGGCCAAGGAGAGAGCTCCATTAAGCAAGAGGAAAAGGAAAAAAAAAAAGGGCTGGCTATCTTGGGGGAAAGGCCATTGTGTGTGGAGGGCTGTGAGTAAGGGTGTCCATGGGTGCTGACAGTACCTTCCTTCACACCCAGGGAGCAGGAAGGTAAGCACATATGGGGATGCACATTCAGATGGAGGACAGCAAGCTGGAAACTGACCCATCACTTCTCTCTTCTCTTTCTGTCCTGGCTTTCTTTTTAAGCAGAAGAAACTGTAGAAGGTATGTATCTTGGGCAGGTGGGGAGCCAGAGAGGAGGAGTTTCAGGAGGCCAGTGTTTCTGGGAAAACAGCTTGTCTTTTCTTGTCCTGAACTCCTAGCTGAGCAAAGATGTCCCAGGACAGCAAGCTGGAAACTGACCCATCACTTCTCTCTTCTCTTTCTGTCCTGGCTTTCTTTTTAAGCAGAAGAAACTGTAGAAGGTATGTATCTTGGGCAGGTGGGGAGCCAGAGAGGAGGAGTTTCAGGAGGCCAGTGTTTCTGGGAAAACAGCTTGTCTTTTCTTGTCCTGAACTCCTAGCTGAGCAAAGATGTCCCAAGTAATTGATTTTTTGTCCATTT